CCACCAGATTAGGAGATAATTAAATTACTTGGGCTATGTTACTGATAAAAGGTGATATTAAAAATGAGTTTTCTTACAAAGCAAATAAAATGTTTTTGCTAACTGCTGAAGGAAGGTGTTCCAAACTGAAAAGAGATTAAACTGGATTTATGCTATGCCTCTCCTCCTAATGAGACAAAACATATAAAGGTTTTAAACATGTTAATTGGTTTGTACCTGAAATCACTTACAGTTGAAGACTAGAATGTGGCCCTTTTAAAGAAAAATATGATCTGTGAAATTATAGATGGCTAGTACCTGGTGAGAGATATTTTGGGTAAAAAGCACTATGAAAAGGATATGTTGTATAATTGGGCTCTAGGCTTTATATATAAAAATACATAAATAAAATGTTTACATAATCCAATACCTCTATGATACACAAAAGGCTCTGTATCAACGCACTCATCTTTCCAAATAGTCTGGCTCTTTTATTATAATATGCACATTATTAGGCATGATCAAAAAGCAAAATCTTGATTTTGCAACGGATCCAAATTTATACATCCTAATGAATGGCGTCTTTTCCTTCAGGTAGTAGTTTTTCTTTTTTTTTTTTTGAGTTGGAGTCTCACTCTGTCGCCCAGACTGGAGTGCAGTGGCCGCTCCCAGCCACCGCAGCCTCGGCCTGCTGGGCTCCGGTGATCCTTCCCCCTCAGCCTTCCAAGTAGCTGGAACTACAGGTACGCACTACCACACCCGGCTAATTTTTTGATTTATTGTAGAAATGAGGTCTCACCAAGTTGCCCAGGCAGGTCTCGAACCCGCAGGCTCAGGCAATCCACTCACCTCAGCCTCCCAAGGCGTGGGATTACAGGCTGAGCCACCGAGCCCGGCGGTAGTAGTTTTTCAAATCAGCACCCTACTTACTGTGATGTGCTTTCAGTTCAAATAACTTTTTAAACTCCTAACTGGAATCTACCTTCAAAGTTTGTAAATAAAATGAATATTTTAATTCAAACAAGATCTGACTACAATGGGTATGATTTGTGCAATTTGGAAACTGACCTAAATAATTAAGAGTTCCAAAAGTATTTGAGAACGATCAACTGTAGTGGTGGGGAAATTTAAAAGTTGTACTACTGGAGAAAGCTGTTTTCCAAGATGAGGATATTATATAAATATCTAAATTCCAGCCTATACATACGCCTAGCACTTTTTTTTGTTTTGTTTTCACTTAAAGCCCTCCATTTTTCTTGGAATCCTCAATCTTCCAAGTCCTTCCTGTAATGATGCCAGTTTTGTTCAGCCCATATTGGAAGAATATGGGGCCTCCCAACTCCTCTCCTCCACCTGCTTGTGAAATCTACATTTTAAACAAACCATTTGGAGAATAATAATGACACTAGCATATTGAATGCTTTGCGTTACAAAAGGCTTTCATGAGTATTATTTCATTGTATACCTCCTTTTGGTCCTTATGAGAAAGGTAGCACTATCTCCTTATCACAAGTGAGTAACTGAGATTCAAAAAGGTAAAAAAATGTTAGTTATACACAATTACAAAAAAATGTAATAAATACAGGGTTCCTGAATTCAGTTTTAAGACAAATTTTACTCTTTTCCCACCACAAGAGATAATAAAAATTTGTACCTATAAGGATTATAAAAATAAATATTTGTTAATAGCTTCTAAATAGCTGTGATACTGGAAAGCATGGCTATTATTTAATATATGTTTATATCTAAATGACATAATGAAAAGCACTTCTACAAAAGTTCTGGAAACAAAAGAAAGGTATGCATTTCTGGGACAGAACCACTGAAACATCTTTTTAGTTTTGTCTGGTGTCACCCTACTTATCTTGAATATTTGATGATTTTCAGCAAAAAGCATCATCATGATTAAGAATACTCTAGAAAGAAAGCAGAAATCTATTAGGATAACCCAAGGTCTATCACAGAAGAGGCTTCTGTTGCTACAGGATTTTTAAAATTCTCATCCTTCCCAAAACTTCATTTCTGAATTTAAGAAAAGTCACTTTTAAAAAGACCTTTCTTAAGAAGAGTAAATGAAGATTTAGGAAAATCAGCATGGAGCTATCCATTATACAATTGCTAATATAAAAGGCAAAATTTTAAATGTTTACCATTATCAGGTAATATTTCTCAAATGTCTAAGAATTCTAATAAATGCAAACAGAAGTAATACACGGACAAAGAATTGATCAAAATAACACTGTACATCTGCTATATATAAAATATGAATATTTTGCTAGACAAATGCTAATGAAACTTTTTTGGGATCTCACAGACGAAGCAGAAAGCCAACAGAGAGGGACTGAGAAAGTAGCACTAGGAGGACATGAAGCCATGAACCATGAAGAATGTAAAGTCAAAGAAGACTGGATGACTGGCTTGAAATGCACAGAAGGACATATTGCTAATCCATTTTCGCTAAGAAAACAAGGGGTCACTCAGGAGCAAAAATAGTTCAACTGAGCAAAGAAACGTAGGGTGCCCGGAGGGGGCATGTGAACCAGGTTCTATGCTGCGGGGCAAATCCAAAGCTCCTCCTTTAGCTAGGCTCTTCAGACTAAACACCTGCACACTTCACGCAGAAAGGGACTGTGCTGCTCAAAACAGCAAAGGAAGTGGCTCAGGTAGGTGTATATCTGGCCCTGTTGCTCTTTGAAGACTGCGGGCCAGCATTGCCTGGATAGTGTGAAGGAAACAAGAATCAGGAGCAGAGCCTTCTTCTTCCCTCTGGGGCACAACCACCATCTGGAAAAGCAGGTAACTGGGGAATGAAAGACTTGTGTATGGAAACAGACATGCTACGGATAACTTGCATTTGTATTATTAATTTTTTTTTTAAAGTAGAGTGTTTTAGATTCCATATTAGAGAAAAAAGACATTGGAATCTATTACCAAGGATTGTGGTGCTATCTTTCCACCAGCCCTTTTAAGTAGCAAATGTATTTCTACGATAACTAGATGGTCCGATGGGTCTTTGGATTGCTAGAAATCTATGAGCTATTTTCAATGTATGTTTTCTAATTTAAATGATTATAATGTTACCATTGCTACTCATTTAAAACAAAGGTAACAATATGAACACCGAAGATCAGATTACGTGTTATCTAATTAGTAGTGATTACTTCTAGGTAAAAGAATTTAGTTATTGTTGTTTTGGAGCTGGCAGGTGCTGTGGCATGTGCCTGTACCTGTAGTTCCAGCTACTTGGGAGGCTCAGGCAGGAGGATCACTTGACCCCAGGAGTCTGAGGCTGCAGTAAGCTATAATTGCACCACTGTACTCCAGCCTGGGCAACAGAGCAAGACTTTAAATAAATAAATAAAAACCCTCCAAAATCTTGTCAGAATAACACCAAGTAGTCACTCAAACTTAAAATATGACTAAATTTACTGTTAAAAACTCACTGTGAGCCGGGCTCGGTGGCTCAGCCTGTAATTCCGTGCTTTGGGAGGCTGAGGTGAGTGGATTGCCTGAGCCCACGGGTTCGAGACCTCATCTCTAAATAAATCAAAATGAGCCGGGTGTGGTAGTGCGCGCCTGTAGTTCCAGCTACTCGGAAGGCTGAGGCGTAAGGATCGCCAGAGCCCAGCAGGTTGAGGCTGCAATGGCTGGGAGCAGCCACTGCACTCCAGTCTGGATGACAGAGTGAGACTCCAACTCAAAAAAAAAAAAAAAAATCTCATTGTGCCCATGGGTAACTAATATATATGCACAGCAGAAATAAAATGAAAAAAATCTAATAATCATGAGCACTCTTGTCTCAAAAGGGAAGTAAGAAAATTATGGGAACAATAAACAGAGGATTAAGGAGTGGGGTCATGTTGGGAAACTGGAATCCAATACAACTTATTAAAGAGTACTGAAACTTTGAAAAGTGTCCAATTCTACTCAGGCAATAACCACAGCAGATCAGATGAGAGTCAAAATATTTTTTACACTTGAGAAATGTAACTAATACTGAACTGTTGTGGGGTTTTTTTGTTTTTGCTTTGTTTTGCCTCTGTCACCCAGGCTGGAGTGCAGTGGTATGCTCACAACCACTGCACCCTCGACCAGCTGGGCTCAGGCGATCTTTCCACCTCAGTCTTCCAAACAACTGGAAGCACAGGCGTGTGTCACCACGCCTGGCTAATTTTTTGACTTTATTGTAGAGACGAGGCCTCGCCAAGTTGCCCAGGCAGGTCTAGAACCGCTGGATCCTAGACCTCTAGAACAGGCAATCCTCTAAGCTCTGGCTTCCAAAGAGCTAGGATTACAGGCTGAGCCAACTCAACCCGCTGTTTTGCTTTTGTTAAGGGAGAGAGGGAGGAGGGATCAGTCTCCCTTGAAAATCTAAAGAAAGCTAAGGACTCTTCTCAAAAAAATGTACACAGTCACAAGATTTTGAGCAAAAAATAAGTCATTTCTAACCCTCCTGGAATCCATTCAGAGTCAGGAACTCCTAATTTTAAAACTAGGGATAACTACAGGAGAAGGAGGAGCTTTAAATAGAAAAAAACACCTCAAGTAGAATTAAGGATAGGAGGCAGAGGCTTGGGAGGTATATTTGAAGATACTTGTTGAGCATATATTATCTACCAATATTTTCCAATAAAATTATAATGTGAGCCACATATACATATTATATGTATATATTTTTTGAGATGGGGTCTTGCTTGCTCTGTCACTCAGGCTGGAGTGCAGTGGCAGGATCATGGATCACTGCAGCTTCGGACTCTTGGGCTCAGGCGATCCTTCCACCTCAGCCTCCCAAAGTGCTGGAATTACAGGCAGGAGCTACTGGGACCGGCCCACATATATAATTTTAGTAGCCACATTATAAAGTAAAAACAAGTGAAATCTTAAAATTTTATTTAACCCCAAGTAGTCAAAATATTGCCACTTCAACTCTTAAGCTATATAAAATTAATCAACAAAACATTTTCATACTAAGTTTATTCAAAATCTGGTGTGTATTGTAGACTTATAGCACATCTAGGGTGACCAACTTCCCTGTTTGCCTAGGGCTGTGGAGCTTTGACACACAGGATTTCAGTGCCAAAACTAAGACACTTTCAGCAAACCAGGACAAATGGTCACTCTAGCATCTCAGTCTGGGTGAGCCATGTTTCAGGTGCTCTGTAGACACATGCACTGGACAATACTGGATAACATGACTATCCATCACACATGGCAAAGCAGACTACACGTTATTTAATGTAATCCTCATAACACACAAGAGAGAAAAAAAAGAAATAGATACAGGTTGCAGGTTAAGGCGCCCACTCAAAGTTGCACAGTGAGAGCCATGGTATCGGGCAAGTTAGTGGGAAGCCCAGGGCCCACGGAATGTTAAGATGTTCGTGAAGCAGTGGAGGTGAGAGGCTAAGAAAGATCCAGAAAGTGAGATGAGAGGAAATGTGAGCATGAGAGGAGTGGAGCGGGGGGAGAGGGTGGCAGAGAGTGTCAAGAAAGGCACCCACAAGTTACCGAAGGGCTAGTGTCTCCGAGGGAGACAGGAGAAGAAAAGGGAGGGAAAATGGGAAGAAGAAAGGAGGGGTGGAGGAAGAGAGAGAGATCCTCCAGAGAGGAAGGGCCAGAAAGTCAGGAGCATGGCCTAGGAGGCCAAAGGCCGGGGCGGGGGACGAGGGTGGGGAGAATGCACATCAAACGATCAACAGCGGCAGGTAACTGTAGTTTGCACCAGGGGTCAGGCACTACTTCGTGAATCATCTCCTTAACGGCGGGGGGGCAGACTCCC